TACTTGCAGTCTGTCTAATAAGAGCATGTACATCAAACATTGACGCCATAAAATGTTAGAAATAAAGATAGATTGTCCCTTTTTCCTTAGTATATCGTAAATTAATTGATAAAAATTCTTACCGCAAACTTCGAAATCACTACATTTTGCATTACATTTTTTTTTAGCAAATTTTCAGTAATTCGATATTATGCTAATCGTATTGGTCCGTTTTATACCTTTTAGTGTAAACAGCCTATATGTTATCTTTTGACTTATATAAAGTTCATCCTATAGAAGGATCTGTTTATACCTACATGCAGAAAAAATAATTTCAAAGATTGGCGCGCGTTTTGAATATTTCTAATAAAATTCAAGAAGTTTTACGATTTTTGTCCAAGGAATATGCAACTAAATGAATGCACAGCAAATTCAGAAGATGTTAGACGGTTGTTAATGACAATGCAAATTAACGAAGATGTAAGATTTCCTGTTTTAATGAAAATTTTCAGGCGAATTCCTTGCTGTGCGTGATATTGCTAGAAAGACTGTACATCGGTAACGCAAACCGGTCTTATCAGCGCGATGTAGCATAGATTTGATCTTCTTCTGTCACTTCTGCTGTTGTCATCATCGTGTTAACCGCAACCACTCCGCTTTCCGTTTACATCAAAGAAGAGCAACGAGCAACGATGCGGTTTTCGCGGTTTGCTGTTGTACCCAGAGCTGAAAACCATCGACGGCAATCAACACAATATAGAAACTATGTTTTACCGCAATAGAGTTCGTACGAATGTAATGAAACGTCCAGAGTGGCTGCACAAGTGTCAAGCAGAAAAAAGAGTTACGTCGATAGAGGATTGGCGAAGAGAACAACAGTAAGTCACTGGCTACAGATGTTGTGTGTAAATCTAATAACAAACAATGTGTATAAAAATTCTAATACCTCAGCATTTCAGAACTGATATTCCAGTGCCGAAATTCGCAGACTTTACGAAAAACTGTCGCTAAAGTATTAGAATGTGAATCTTTTGTGTAAATAAAATAATACTTTTATTCATTGTTTACGTACGGTAATGTATTGGTAACATTTTCATTTAAAAGATGATCAAGAGTGCACAAATCTTTGTAAATCATCATTGATAGACGATGATGCGCAGTCTTATTTTCGTATCTTTCGTACATTCCATGTAATAGAATTAAGAGCGGAGAACTAGTAGTTAAAACTTAGAATCAACATTTTTCATAAATTTCTTATGATCGAATATTTAGCTTCAATCTCAGAGAAAAAATGGTTGAAAAACTTGAAAGTCTTTGTTTTATCAGCGAAAAATTGAAAAGTAAGGAATATCCGATTCGCCTGAAATTCCGGGCGATGGATCATCGAAGATTCACTTTTTTACTTTATCGAATAAATTGTATCTTTGATATTATGCTTTTATCTTGTTCTGTTCGAATTATTAATGCGATTCATTAAAAGTATTTTAAAATACCCGTTACTGTGCACGGTTCACAATGCATGCGGATGGGTAGTTACGAGATGATTGATGTATGTTGCTCACTGTCAGTTAGACAGACAATGAGAATCAACCTTTACGTTGGTGAACGGTCTCGATATAACTGGGCTAATCCAGACACTACTGTTATCTACGAGGTATTTAGAAGAGAACATCAATACTTCGAGTGACTCTTGCTCCAGTTATCGTAGCAAAGAAATTCATTTAAATATCATGTCAACATATAATGCGTTAGCTAAGATAAGATGTTTTTTAATCCATAAGCCCATCATCTGGAACTGTACGATATAAAGGAACATGCGTCACTATTTCTGATAATATTTATTTACTTTTTCAAATATATACCATCTATTAAAGTAGTGGAACAGTATTTAATAAAATAAGGTCTGCTATAGATTTTAGAGAACTAATTTCTTATCATCTATTATTTAGAGTAAGAGTCTACAGTAATTTGTTTCAAAGGCATCATTGTGATGAAATGATGGTGTCATTCGAGACTAGTAACCAGTATAGAAGTTATAGAATGTATTTATTAACGTATATGAATAAAGTATCAATAATTTATAATATTCATTATAAATCGCATATGTTCATTGTTTCCATTACCAGAGAAAAATTCGACTGTTTACTTACGAGGCTGCATACTGCGCAAAAAGATGCAAATAAACAACACGGTAGCCCTTAACAAGGGTTTCCACTTTGAAGCACCAGAAAGTAACAAAAAACAAAAAATTTCCACTTGCATCTCTAGAAGTTTTTTACAAGCAACCTCTCCAAATTTAAAAATAGTCAAAATCTCGCAGAGTGTCAAGGTTTCCTCGTCCGGCGTACATCGTTCTAATTAGACATCGAATTTCATGCGTTTACGACAATTACGAGTATATGGAATATAAAATAGAGAAATGTTCGTCAGGATTTCAGAATCCTATTACTGTATTTTCAACGTATTAAATTTCTTAGCTATTGCGTAGTTTGTGTTAAGTAATTTAGTGGCTCCGGTTATCGGTGACCACCGTAGCAGTCAACGTATTAACCCTTTGCACTCGATAATATTTGATATCATAAATATTCGTTATTTTCTGATGAAACTTCGATAACACTATTTGCAACTGACGTAAAGAAGAATCTCGCATAAATTAAGAGACAGAACTATTTGATTTTTAATATTCGTTATTTTCTGATGAAACATCGATAACACTATTTGCAACTAACGTAAAGAAAAATCTCGCATAAATTAAGAGACAGAACTATTCGATTTTTAATATTCATTATTTTCTGATGAAACATCGATAACACTATTTGCAACTAACGTAAAGAAAAATCTCGCATAAATTAAGAGACAGAACTATTCGATTTTTATATTTCATGTGCTCTTACCTTACACAAAATTGAATATTGAATGTTCAATTTTACAATTTTCCTGTGTTCAATCAAATGGCGACTAGGAGTCGCCTCTGCATCAAATCGGGAATTTTTCAATTTCTCGCAAAGATCTGTTGTCTAATTATGATATTATCAATCGAGCAAAAAACGAACGCCTAATCGCAAACGCGCTGTCAACTTAGGCTGGTGAACAATTAGAACAGCGGG